CCAGCGGTTGATGAAGTCGTTCGCGCAAGACCTGGTATTTGGAGTAACCAGAGGGAGGATTAAGCCACCTAAACAAATTCTTCTGTGATATGCTGTAAAAACTCTCACAAACAATGTAGAGCTAGTGTCTATACTAAACCGTTATGGTCATGGTATTTCTTATTCCCAGCTTGAGTATGCAGGTGAGTGTCAAGGCCCTAAGCCAAGAACATATGTTGAAGTAAATTGCCAGGAAGCGTTAGAAAATACCCGAAGGGAAAACCTTTTGTGGGTTTTAGTGCGCCTTCTTTCATTTCTCTCACGCAGCCAGATCGGGTTACAGCACGTTGATTTTGGTATTAGAAGATACAGATGTCTTTATTCTTTGAGGGTCATTCAAGTACTTAATTCCGTCTTCAATAGTTTTCAAGTGTGGAACACAAACAAGAGTTAGATACATCAGCATCACGAGTATAGTGCAAGCTATAGGTCAAAATTTGGGCAGCAGTCTCCTTGGCATGCACGCTTATACTGGTTGCGACACAGTAAGTGCTTTTGCTGGACGGGGTAAGATTGGTGCACTTTGAATTGTCAAAGAACAGAGATACTTTCAGGAAATGTTTGACCTCTTAGGAGTGGAATGGGAATTCTCAGATAATCTATTCCAGATGCTTCAGAATTTCACCTGTCGTATGTACAGTTCCCGCCCAGGGACAAACAGCAACAGTGAGCTAAGATATAGATTGTGCTGTTCAAAGAGATGTAACATCGAGTCCGACCAACTACCGCCTTGCGCTGAGTTCCTGTATAAACATGCGTGTCGAGCAAACTAGCAAACAGGAATGTGGAGGCGAACAATTGAGAACTTCCCTGAAATTCCGAGTCCCTTAAGACATGGCTGGATTCAGGATGAGAAAAAGTTAGGGATTGATTGGATGAGTGGTCAGCCAGCTCCCGCAACAGTTTTAGAGCTACTTTCTTGTTCTTGTACCAAATCTTGTATAGGCTCCCGAACTATAGCTGCCTTGCGAATGGTCTTAAGTGCACAGACAAGTGCCGGCTCTCCAATTGTGACAACAGGCGAGAAAAACAAGCTGTCACAGTAGAAGTCGATGCAGACGAGGACTAGAATATGTGGTCTGATTCTGTTTTTCAGCATTATTTCCTTTGGCTGTCGACATGATAAATAAAATGTGTGTGGATTTATTGACCACAGAAGAATATAGTCATTGCTAGTCGTTGCCACACTTAAACATATGACTTGCCAAATGTACACCCAAAATACATAAAAAACAAATGGTCATTGTAAGAGGAATTATAACGTTTTGCATGTCAACCTCGGATGTCCAAAAAGCATGACTTCACAGAAAAACCACAATTAGTACCGGTACTTTTGCTAGGGATATGGAGAAATCTCTAGCAAAGTGGAAGAGTTTGCATCTATGGTGTCTTAGTTTACAGCTTTAAGAGAAGCTTCTTTCACAGCTTCAATATGAGGATTTTGCATGTTCCTTTCAGTTTTGATCGTTTTTGGGCACTTGAGGGGACAAAATTGGCATGTTTGGAAATCAAAGATGGCGGATCCAATATGGCCGCCAAAAAGCTAATTTCATATTATAGCAGCGCCATAGGTAGCTATAACACCTGAGTCAATCTAGTATCCAGTTGTCATCTAGAACTATCATTTAACAGATTTTTCAAACAATTAATCTTTATTACTTTAGTTTATATCGACCCTCTGGTTCAAAAGGCTACTTTTCTACGTTACCATGGCAACCAACACCAAAATTCATCTAATTTTGCTACAAAAGTCTAGAAAATCACTTGCAAAACAGTGGTACCATTTAATCATCTAGACGTGCCCCAAAACATGAGTAAAAACATGAGTACAAGCTTATGTATGTACATTCATTCGACATTGTTGAAAGCTGAGTGACGTCACTTCATCACGTAATAAACCCTATAAAACTACTCATTTGACGTGGTTATCATACATTAAAATAAACTAGAGGAGACATAGTTTTTAAAAATATAAGCCACTCTTTGTCCCTCTTTTTGGTACCAAATCATCAAATTTGGGGTTCTGGCCCATGGACTCTTTTGTTCAAACCATCAGAACGTTCAAACACATTCCTTTCAAAAATACGGTCCGAGCTTTTGCAAGTGAGCGACATCAACTAATATTGGCGGATCCAGGGGGGTCCCCCCACCCCCCTCCCCACCACTGTTGGGTGGTACCCGCTTCGGCTGAACACTTTCCTCGATCTCCATAATTCTGCATATCATACTCAACCGTATCCAATGAAAGCTTAATTAATATGAGAAAACCAACTGCTACTCCAAGCAGTTTCCGTAGTGTAGTGGTTACCACGTCCGCCTAACACGCGGAAGGTTGCCAGTTCAATTCTGGTCGGGAACATTGCCACTATTTTAGGTTTTTTTTTTGAGTTTCTTGTATATTAAACAAACAAAAAAGAAAGTTTTTTTTTTTCGGGTGGCTGGACTAACCGTTTCAGATTTTTGAGTGTCTGTGAATGAGTGATTCAATTAATATAATTGGAAGTTTTGAGTGTGCGTAAGTGAGCGATTTAATTTCGGATTTAATCAATATTTGGTGTTTTTGTAGTGGAGTTCTCACGCGCGCGAAGCACGCTGCCGAGCTCCATGGGTAAAAAAAAAATGGTTATCTAATCAATTTTTCCTCGTTTTAAAAGTGGGAGGTTTTAGAACTCAATTAAATAGCCTATTGGCAGATGCTGCAAGGAATTCAATTTCCAACAGTGGTTATTACTCTCGGAATTCTGTCATAACTTGCAGAGTTCTTTATTGCTTTTTAAGTCTCCTTTTATACACATATCAAATTTTATATCCGACTACCACGTTTTTAACGGGTTTTAAGTAAAATGGAATACGTTCAAATATTCAAAATAGTACATCCAAGATAGCGTTCCAGTTTCTTATTGAATTAGTAGTGACGTAAAAATGGCATCGCTTTTATTGTTAAGATTGCAGTCAAACCTCCACTAACGGCTACCTCTTCAAATCAGCCACCTCTCTCCAGCGATGGACACTCCACTCTTGTTTAAATCTCTCAATAATGGCTACCGTCCGCTAAGGCGCGTCCCCAACTAACACAATAACCTCTCTACGGAGGCCAGTTTTTCAGCTGACCGACGAAAAAGTCAAGAATGGCCACGAAATTCATTTAAGACTAAATTTAAATACAGTACCTTTTGTTAGAACCTATAATTTTTAGGGCATAATTGTAAGAGTCAGTTAAGCACATTTTTATTTGTCTCATTAGTATCTAGACCATGAGAAGCTGTGGCTAATTCTGGCAATATTAATATGTTAAATACAGGTGTTCGAGTTAATGTCACGTTTCTTCCTGGCCTAAATTACTAATACCTATGAGAAACACAGTAATAGATATATTGGTCCTGTAATATAGTCGAAACTTTGTATTTTACTTTGCCGATTAATAGTTCTGTAACACTTGCTACTTTTAAGAACCATTCGAGAAAAGTGGACTTTGAGAACCTCGTAAGAACTGACTCCTTTAGTCTTCATTAATCAATCAATCTTAGTTCTTACAAAGCACATAATAACAGTAAAATACAGTTCAGGGGCCTTTAAGAACTGTCACCTGTGTAATTGGTGGGGTTTCCGAGTTTGTTTACTTGTATGTTTGATTTTTTTTAGGTAGTTAATGGGTAAATAGGTGTCCTCAATTAGTTATACTCCGTGCAAGCTAAGCTTTTGACACATTAATAAAGTCCTTATAATTATTATTGTCTCTTTTGTCACAATCTTTGCTGGTGTTCTTTTTGTGCATCAGCCGGGTGCAGACCATGCACCTGGAGCATCAGTCACTCAAGTCAATCATTCTGTTCATGAACTATACACCTTCCTGAAGACTCATGCACATCCCAGCATGCAGATCTTTTGGATCTCTGTCAGTGGCTGTCTCTCATACTTTCTGATACTTCTTCTTCTTCTTCTTCTTCTTCTTCTTCTTATTATTATTGTTATTATATTTTAGTAAAATCCAACTAGTGGTCTATTATCAATGCTGCGTTCTGATTGGTTGAGCTACTACTAGGCTATACGTTATAGCACACTAGTAGCAAAATGCTCCGGCTTTTTGGCGGCAAAAAAGGATTAAAGTCTATCTTTTACTAGCTAAAGTTGTTTTGTCTCGATATTTGATTACTAAAACAATTATTCCTCTCGCCCTCGAGGCCTCTGAGTCAATAGCCCATTCGTCTTTCGGCCTCATGGGCTATTGACTCAGAACCCATTCGGGCTCGAGGAATAATTTTTAAATATCATGCGATACTATGCTTGAGACGCTCAAGATCCAGAAGAAGACAGCTAGACTTTGTTGACTCAGATCTACAGATCGAAAATATTAGAGCCTTCCCGAATTAATTAGCTTGTTTGTTTGTATTTTATTATTTTTAAGTTGTTACTTTTTAACATCCGAGAAGGATGATTCTCTTTTGCAATGAATAAATTTAAAACTCTGGACCGCCTGCAAGAGATTGATCGCATCTGTGCTGTGAGGAATGTATTTCGGAAATCGTTATTGACTCAGTGATTTTATTTTTTATGATTTATTTAATTCTCAATGTTATACAGTGGTTAATTCTTACTTCAAATATTTTGTAAATTATGTACATATTTTTTAAAGTTGAGTAAAATTATTATTATTATTATCATTATTATTATTTTTGTCTCTTCTGTCACAGTCTTTGCTGGTGTTCTTTTTGTGCATCAGCAAGGCGCATGCACCTGGAGCATCAGTTACTCAAGTCAATCATTCTGTTATTATTATTATTATTATTATTATTATTATTATTATCAGGATTATTATTATTATTATTATTATTATAATAATTATTATTATCAAATATGCTGCGAACTTTGTTCGTTTTGTCTTGTGGTCATGTTAACATTTTGATTGGTGTTTCTTGATAAGACTAAATATTGTGACGTGTATGTTTTGGTCCTTATTCGTTTTAAATCCTTTTTATCTCCAAAGTCACGACGAATTCTCTTGAGTGGTTTAATACTGATGCCTCTAGGCGTCTCTCGTATTTTGGTTTTCTGTAACATTTCTTCAGCACCGGGAAAATTTTCTTTAGAGCTTCCCGATATTTTGGTAAGCGCCATGCGTAAACAAATGGATCCAACATGATTTTCAAATACATCGTGTTGTCAATCATTAGATTGACGATAAACATTTTTGGAGTTAGCGGCTTTCCTAGCCAAAACTCGACCGCCAACCAAAACACTAGTCCAGGGAGCAAGCAAATGATGAGTATGGAAATCAAAATTAAGTTGACAGTTATAAATTGTCGCTGTATTCGGTTTTGACTGCTTTCCTCAGATCGAACACTTGTATCGTTTGAAAGATTTCTAGAAGAAGCTATTTTTCGTTTGAAGGAGAAGTGCAACAGGGTATAAAATATGATTGTTAGAAAGAGGATGAACAAAGAATGCAAAAACACATCAATTTTCTTAAGCAGATCAGTGGAAGCCCCGAAAAATTCGGACAACCAGAACAATATGGCATACAAATAAAGAACTACCACGCAAATAATACTTTTTCTAGAAGATATCATTCGCCCGTACTTCAGTGGAGACGAAACAACCACTAATTGGGTGAAAGAGAAAGCAGACACAACAAGATAGGAAATGGTTAACGCTATTCCCCCCTGAGTTAAACCTACATGAAGAAGCACGTCACCGCAAAGAAGTAAACCACTTTGGGGAGTTTGCAGGTACATCATTATAAAACAACCAGAGTATATTGGTAAGAGTATCAAGGCAGTTAGTAAATCACTGATGGCCAGGCCAATAAGAAAGTACGATGGTGGACATCTTAGCATCTTTAGTGGATCCACGAGAAATACTACGAGCAAGAGAGCGTTAGCCACAATCGCTATTAAGGCAACTATGATCATGTACAAGGCAGAACCAAAGGCAAACTTTCTGAACTCTACAAAGGGATCTGTGGCCAGTTCCTGTTGCATTATTGCTCCACAGGCTTTCCACGCATTGACTGCTGTTATGTTTGTAGTGTTACAGCTGGTGGTGATGTTCATCTTCTTAACTCTCTGTTACAGCATCAAGTTCTGTTAAAAGAAGCCCACATTAGAATTTTCCACGTAGTTAGCATTCATGAGAGAAAAATGACGTTAAAAAAACTCTATGTCCTCTTTCACGAACATGGTAAAATAATACCAACTCCGAGTGCAGTCAATTGTCCACAGCCAAGCTTAGTTTGCTAGAGTGCATATAAAATAGAAACAACCAGTTGGGATTAAAATTCTGGCCATTCCAGATGGCCGCTTTTATTTACATAACTAAGAAATCCAAGAAATAAGAAACTAAAAGTAATTTATTTAAGCTCTAGCGAAGGTGAGGGCCACGATATACGGCAAAAGTTAATGTAAACCAAAAACTTAATTACACATTCGAGGAGAAATGGGGTGGAAGCTGGGTGGAAGTGGGTTGATTTCTTGAACGTCCGAAGACTGAGCTTGTAAATTGTGAGTGGAACTGAAGTTGTTCACACCTTATAACTCCTCGAGAAAGACGATCATACGATTGCGTAATTTTACTGAAAACGTGGAGAGTAAATTTACTGCACATGTTGACTAAATGTAGGGAACGAGGACTATAAATAGTAATTTTACAGAATCTGTTATAGGGATATGAGTGGTCCCTTAGATCTTCTGACTATCTTGTGATCGTTACTTTACATGGCTGTACCTTTTGCCTATTATATAATAAGTTGCAAAGGCCAAGAGAATCATATGTACATGTCGACAAACATTATCAGATCTGACCAAATCAACCATCTCGACCCTACTTTAAACTGTGTAACTAATCTACATATTATTGCGTAGGTGACATAACTATTTTTATTGGCGAGCAAATAAACTCATTAAGATTGGTTCAAATGAGAACATTTTTGGAGCTAAACTTAATGAAGGGATGGGTACATTTCTAAGACATCTATGAAGTTTCAAAAGTATGGGGAGCACAAAGCACATAAAGCCATATCACGCGGGTTATAGTGGCACCGACAGCTTGGTGCACGTGCTTCAGGTGCAGGCCCGCAAAACCGCCTATGGTATCTTATCCCGCTGTTCAGTTCGGTTAAAAACTCTCTTATTTCTCTGGTATCTATCTTTGATTTCGTATTACGTATTTCACTGAAGCTCAATAAACTTGGCGCTTTGACCCAGACTACTATTTTCAGTCGCGTTCTACTAGGCGGGTTGCAAGAAAATTTAACTTTTTCTTTTTACCCATGAGGCGGTTGAAATGATGCCAATTATGCCTGCTTGTGTGCGTTTAAAAATGAAATAGGACAGGTACACAAAGGGAAACACAAAGTCTACACGACAAGCAGTTCGCGTCCGGTGAAAATCCAGTTTTTAATCCCCGCCCGCCTGTCAGGGCTTAACATGGATATTCGGAAGATTTTTGCGGGACACGTATTTCTTTAAAGTTAAATTTCTAATTCTTAACGGTAGCTCAATGCAAAGTGAATGGATTTCTATTTATTCGTTTACGGTCGTAATTATCAGCATGATGTTTGAACAGTCAATGAACAATTATTGAACAGAAAAAGAGAGGGAGAGAGATAGAGAGATTATAGCAACAAATGCCACAAAAAACGAATTTCAGTTCTACCCAAGATAATACGTTGGCATCAGAAATAAGTTATTCTACTGGATCCATTACGACATAGTTGGCAGCTAAGAAAGAAATAAGTTTCCATTATAGTTCTTACGGCAGGAGGAATTAGCATCATCTCTGCTTTGAAATGTACTGTTTCTTAAATGACAGTTTTGGCTTGAAGTATAACCAAAGCCGGATTGTCTACGTTCTCTCCACACTGAGAGTTCATTGAATAAATATTTCCCAAGCTTTGCATATTTTAACTGCTAAAACATGTCGAGGGAAGTGGTAGGACATTGATAACTAATCTTAAGCTGTCACAGCTACTTGCAGACTTGTGCTTTAGGCCACATGAAACCACACTGAAAGAGCTCTGCAGTCTAGCTTCAATTGAAAAGTTTCTTTGCCGTCTAAAATGTAATTAAAGGCGTTGGATTTATCTTGTTTAAAATAGACCTGCGCGAAGTTTACTTTAAACTGTCCCGGACAACAGACATTATGTTTTTCCTACAAGGTTTACCATTGTTGCAAGACGAAAACTGAATGATAATTATGCACAAGAGAACTGACATAAACGTCTCTTGTAATACAGCGATATTTTATTACAGGGCCAACTTAAGTGAAGGCTTTTTTCAAGTGAGCTCTAAAAACTACAATGAAATAAGAAATAATAGGAAAAAAATCGAAAATGTACACCTGTAGGTCAACTTCGAAAGAAAGCGATGGCAAAAACTGTGGCTCAAACGTTAAAACTATCTGTGCCGAAAACGTCACCTTTTCAACCAACGGATCCGAGTATTGCTACTACTTTTTATTGTCTAGGACAGAGCTTATCACCGTTTACTCTGCAGTTCAGTTGTATTATTATTAACCTGTACGTATATTTTTGCTTACCGTATGGAAAAAGGTGTTCACCTGGAGTTTGCACTAGTCTACTTATTTAGCATATTTAAATAAACGTAGATTACCTGCAAGTTGAATGTTTTTTTTAGACCGCTTATTTTCAACAATATCAACGAGTTAGGTCAAAACACAAGATGCTGTGTTCGGGTTTAAGACTCGACAATAAAAATTTTATGTGTCATTGTTAATTCCGCGCAGAAAATTACGGCAATTAGCATGCTAATAGGCCTTTGCGTTAGTTGATCACGTGATCAACTTTCGGTAAACACGAAAACAGTCAGCTTTTTTGAAAAATTTTGTCAGTACGAGCTGAAAGAGCATGTGAGTAAAAAGGAAATTTGAGCCCCATAATGCCTAAGCAAATATTTCACGAGAGTTTCGGCAAATTTTCGAAATTTACACAGATATTTGTATGAAAAACCATTCAAGCATGATTGGGTGGCAAAAGTTGTTTTTCTCATACAAATCCTTTTAATTTTCGGCGGCCGTTGTAATCGCTAAATTTGAGATATACGGCTGAAAATTTGCAGGTTACCTTATTTTAGTATGCTCTTTCAGCTCGTACTGACAAAATTTTTCAACAGGGAACTGCTTTCTTTTTTGCCGAAAATTGATCATGTGATCAAGTAATACAAAAGGCCTATCACTTTATGTTTAGCAGCCAATCATAGAGCCCGGAAAGATTTTAATCTTAAAAGTCACTGTCTTCTACAGTCGTGGTAATGTTGTTAACTGGGAGCGACTTTCGAAAGTCGCTCTCAGTTAACAGCGCAAATTTCTCTCAGAATTTCACAACTTGCGAATCATCTTTTTGCTTCCAAAGCATCTTTATCACCCTACAAACAGAGCCTCCTTTTGTCTATTTCTTTACTGAGGGCACATCTTTTTATACACTGATCAATTTTTCGGGCAGGATTACCTCGATTTATACGGGTTTTAAGTAAAATTAAATACAGTTCTTTAAATCAAAATGGCGAATCCAAGATGCCTGATGCTTCCAAATCCTTCTTTAATAATAATTGACGCCATCATGACGTCACTGTTGCTGTTAAAGATTCTTTTGTTTTAGTCAACTTCTTGATATGATATGGTGTCATTATTATATTTATGGAAGAAGGAACTGTAACCATCCACAAAACCCGAATCTGCCATTTTGAATTAATTGAATGTGTTCCGAATAAATTAGGAAATTGCATTAATTATCCTATATGTATTCTACGTTTTAATTTTACCGGCGTTCAGTCCTAGATATGACTTGACTCATTTCTGTTGTTTTAAAACACTTTGACTGGCCTATGATTTAGATCTAACACGAAAAAATCTTCAGCTTCATTTTTATTGTGCTTTATAACATTCAAATAAATTCAAATTTTTACTTGAAGTTCAGTCGTGAGTCAATACGTTTCTGTCCGTCAACACTGATCTGCAACAACGAAAATATCAAAGGTGAAACAAATGTTATCTCCTAAGAAAATTAAAGGCCCTCATATTTGTTGTCCTTTTGATATTGGTGCGGACAATAACAACTATTTTCTCATCTAGAGTTGATCAGTCGAGCTTAGAAATTATATGTTTTATACGTTATTGCTAAACACGAATTGATTAAATCACCGCCTGCAGGAATCCATTGTCCATTACCAGTATTCGGATTGAAAAGAAACTGACAAAGATCCAGATCGACCTGAGGGAAATATTGGAGATGCTATTTACAAATCACATGAAGTGCCATTATATTGATGACTAACAGTACTTTTTTTATTATACTTAACACCTGGAATGATAGTTTACAGAGTTAAAACATACATCAGTTCCAGTTCAATTAAAAGTAATTTTTTTTTTAAGTCAGGCACTTGAAATGAGTAGAAATTTGATCAGGCAAAGAAATCACTAAACAGTTCAATCGACTCTGCTATGTCTCGTTGCAATCTGATAATTTGCTGAAACATATGTGCTTAAACAAAAGCACTGAGTGGCAATATTCTCATTGTACCGTGGCATGATACTTTCCTGAATTTATCTACGTGAATAATACCTAATCTAGAAAAGTAGCTTTCATGTGGTGCTTTTTGTTCTATCATGTTGACTTCTTCTGATGATGAAATCTTTGACCTTTGAAAAAGAACAGCTGAAGGGAATGCCCGCACCGATCAAGCAGTGCTGTTTATTTTTAGTTTTATATCCCGGCAAGCAGTTATCCATTGAAAGTTTCAAGTGGTGTATACACGTCCTATGGTCTGGCCATTGTGAACTAAAACTATTCAGAAAAATTCCATCTTTGCGTTTTTGTTTTCTTTCAGAATTTCTTTAGCTCAACATATGCCTTTGTAACTGATTACTTTTCTTCGCTTTCTAATAAAATATGTATATCTCCACAGGTGGCCCAGGCTCGCTCGAAATATCATCGACACTGTTGCATGACATTCAACATTTAAAGATTTGTGTGAAAAATGATAAAAATGTGAAAGGATTTAAATAAAAATCGGCTAACCTTGCTTAAGTTTTGTGTTTC